CAACAGTCATAATAATACAGTAATATAATAATATAACAATAATGACAATGTTAAAAATAAATAATAAATAATAAGCAATAAGTGATAAATAGTAAATAAAAAATAATAATTAACAAAAAATAAATAATAAATAATAAATGATAAACATCAAAAAATAGATAATAAATGTTAAATAATGAATAATAAATAGTAAACAAGAAACAACAAATAATAATAGGTAGTAAGTAATAAGTAATAAGTAATAATAATAATAATAACAATAACAATAATAATAACAGCGGTAATTATAAAAAAAGATATCAACAGGGTAATAACAAAAAACAGCAACTATAGCATCAATAATGACGTCAATATCAACACTAATAATAAAAAAAAAAAAAATTTGATTTCAAACAGAACTTTTATATTCTCAAAAAGTACTAGAAATCTTGAAGGAGCAAATAATTTAGAAACAAGTGCCTTATAAATTAAAAGGAAGTCAAACAGAAACCATGTTAACAGAAAGTTGCACATAACAACTGTAGTGAATCAATCCTGTTTTAAAAGATTGTGCAAGTAGGGATATTTTTAAAAATCAACTTCGATTTCACAATCTCTTCTTGTTCTTCGAAAATTAGTTTTTTTAAATTATCCGTTCAAGAATCTCTACAAAATTAACTGGACCATTCTAGCACTATGATTACAAAAATAGAGCATCTCATCAGTGAGGTCATTGCAAAGAAGACTCCGTCACCCCCTTTACGAAGTATTCGCTGAATCTGGTTTTTGATGAATTTTATGCCGTAATATGCAACTTTTTCAACAACATTAAGTCCCAAAATTTTCTCCTTAAATTCCGGAAAATCGATTAAATTTAACAGCTACTTAAATGCAGATCTTGAAGGTTAAAACGACAATTAAAAAAAAAAGAAGTAGCGAATCTTTTACATAAAGTTATGTTATAAAAGGTAATTTTTTTCAACACCAAATTGTGAAAACAGCCAAGGTCTTGCATACCAAAGCACAACCTCAGACCTCGAATATAATCAAAAACGAGGTAAGACAGAATTTGTTATACTAAAAGTGAAACCAATTAGGTTTTAAAAAATTTCGAAATATACGTAAACTCATAAATTTTTTCGTTCCTCAGCTCTATTTTTAATCTCCCAGCTTGTTGAGGAAGGAACTAACATTCGGAGCTATCGTCCCATTATGCATCGTTTGTACAGGTAACACATCGTATAGAACGATGAAAGTCAGCTACCTTTCCGATCACCAATCTCCCTAATAGGATTCTTCAGCCACACTGTTTGCTGACCACTTTTGAATTTCTAAAAAGTACAAACCCTCTTCTGTTTGCCATAATTCTTACTGGGTAATGACACCAAAAGAAAAATTTTTTTAAAGTTCAGTGTGTCTTGCTTTCAGAAACGTCCCTTATAGTCTTCACTTTCCAGAATGTTTCATATCCATTACTGTGTCCTACTCATATTGTCAGCTCATTCCAAACTGATTTAAGAAGCCCTGCTAAAAAAAGAACCCCACTCTAGAAAAACCAAATAATGAATGAAATTTTTAGGAAGGAGGATAACAATATAATTTTAAAAATTCTGTTGTTTGAGGGACAAAACTATTAAAAATCTAGATCAAGCATTCCAAAGTTCTAAACTGTTTGTCATGATTTTGCTGTAACAGCTCCAATCCCTATACTTAATCGTCTCACCAAAAAAGGTGCGTTATCGCTGCTTAAAAGCGCCTGAAGTAGGATTTTAAAAAAAATCACCTAAGCAGAAAGTGATTTAGAAAAAGAGGCAGAAAACTGCAAAAAAAGTCATACTTGGAAATAAGGAACTGAAGGAAGAAAATATGTTCTAGAAAATCTGAAAACATCAAACAAGATAGAAGAAAATGACTCATTGACCTCTCAGAAGAAATAAGACCATTATAATATGAATGAAACTGTAGATGATGAGTATTTTGCAATTCAAAGTTAACCTTTTTCCTCCCTACTTCATGATAAGCAAAATCATTGCCGATCAGGCCTACCTCTTGAAATCTCCTTCAAAGCCTATTAAGATATTTAATTCGCCAGAAATACTTTTTTGTATCAAAATAGCACAAATTCATAAACTCTATAGAAAAACTCTTCGGTCAGTTACACTTCTGAAGTAATCGTCAGTAGTCTTCATTTGACAGAGCTGAGACGATAAATCAGAAAAAAACTTTCCAAGCAATCAGAAGGTTCCTAATATTAGCCGGCTGTAAAGCAGTTAGGCCTGCATCCCTAAATTAAAAAGCCAAATTAGAAAGAAGTATAAAATAGCAAAGAAATAATAATCAGTAGCAGTTTCTTGAAGAGAGCTGCCATTAACCAATGGCCACAAAATACATCACCTGTAAACTTCTTCCCAGGGTACTTGTTACTTGGTAGGGTTGAAGAGTTCATTATGTTGGCACATTGCCGAAAAAACAATTTTCACCACCGCATTTCATAAACATTTTGCTATACGTATAAGAAACATTGAGCTTCGAGAATAACGGGACAAACAATGGATAGCTTCTCAGTATTGAAGCACAAAATGAGTAAAGCGAAAGTGAAATCTAAGAAATAAATTTATTAAAGGGAAGTGCGAAACTGTATGGAAGTAAGTGACTAATAAACTGGAAGACAAGCAAGTCAGAAGGAAAAAAGATGTGATGTAAAAGAAGGTTAAAAAATGAACGAACGGAGTTATCACCTAACTGCCTGAGTGAAGGAGGCTGAAAGAAGTTCAAGAGTTTCTGGTTTGCGAGGTTTCTCTGCCAAATTCATTTCTTCTAAATGTCACGTGGAAGAAGGATAGCAGGGATGTAACTGCTGGCAACCTCTAGATTCAGGAAATTTCAGGTTGTGAACTTTCTACGACGTTCACTTCCTGCTCTTAGCCTTTAACCATTTCCTGGACGACTATAACTACAGAAATAATTCAATAAAAAAATTTTTAAATAAGCACTTTCTGTTAATCTCCTACGAATTGAAGCACAACTTTGTGGTGCGTGCTCAGCGTTGCGACCTGTTCGAAACAATGTTTGAAAAAAAAAATAAATAAATTTGATTTTTCATCTTGGATCCTTCTTACCTCGGTCCCTTTGTTCCACCCTAGCTCCCTTCAATCCCACAAATTTGACAAATCACCACTTCTAGAGAACAATTACTTCAATAAAGCTCGCTAAAAAATAGCATCTCTTCCAAATATTGAATACTCAGTCAAGCAAACATTCACAGTCCATTTTTTAAACTTCAAAAAATTCAAGAGAATTCGATAGATGAAGGGCTTCAGAGATCTAGTTTTTCATCCATTTCTGAGACTATTTTAAAATATTTCAGTTTCAAAAACAAGGCCAGATATAAATTGTGCATGTTTTTCAATGATCCAGGAAACTGACCAATTTTTCTGCTGCCATTTCTATGTTATGCCTTATTACTTGTTGTAAGTGAACTATTTTAAATTTAATTCATGACATGACATCAGCTGATAAATATCATAACCAAACCGGTTACCGTGTAATCCAGTATTAAACATCGACTACTTCATCTGGAAATAACTAGTACTAAAGCAATTTGGTTATATCTATAAGCATCTAAAGTAACAACAATAGGATATGGGAAGCAGCAGCACTATTTTAATCTCAATTTAAGGAAGTTATATCATAAAATCATAAATCTACCCACTACTGTTAGAACAGTTTCCAGTGAGAGTGATATATATACGCCCGTTACTAGTCTGCACTACTGGTTAAGCAGACACTAAAGCAGATCTTCCTCATTATATATTAAACATTAAAATTAAAATAAGTAGTGCCGAAATTGAGCAGAACGCGGAATATCGCTAAAAAAATTCAATAGTTTTAGTGCTACCCTTTTGTTCTACTTTTTTTAATGTGTTCAGTAAGCCCAAATAACTGATGTTCACAGTGCTCAGCAACATCTAATTTTGACTACCTTTAAAATGTAAAAACTTGACTTGAACATGGTCATAAATTGTGCTACAAATTGCAAAAAAGAAAAAAAAAAGTAATATTAATATTAATAAAATCACCACTTATCAATATTACTTGCAGTAATAACAAAACCTGGCTCTCAAATGAAAAACCTCACAGCTGTAGTCATTGTCACTGGAACTATGGTTCTTATCGTAGGTCTTCCAACTGCTGTCTTTCGTTGTGTATCACAGTTTAATAATGTTTTTAACAACAATAGTCCACTACCCGAATTGTAATTATACTGTTTATTGCCACACTTTTTGATTTTCACGAATTAACGAAACCACTAACGAACTGACAAATCTTAGTAATCTATTGTCGATCCAAAGCTGCACAAAAACCGGAAACCCGAACTGCGTTACTGAACAAAAATCTCTCAACTAACCGTGTTCATTTTGCCGCAAAAAACAAAAACTTCCTAAAACCATGTCAAAATGTTGCAGCCTTATTGTCAACGATATAACATAGCAGTCACTGGGCCGTACGCCAGTCGACTTCCCTATTCAGTCGTTTTTTTTCTTGGTTATTTACTGATGCTGAAAAGACTTGCATGAAACGTATATATATATATATATATATATATATATATATA